CTTTTTGTATGATGTTAAGAGACCCAACCCTATTCCTGTGACTCTCCAAAGGACAAGAAACCTGGGATCCAAGCCCCCAAGCCATGGACTGGCACAGTGGTTCTCAGTACTCCTGTTTGTAAGAGGTCAGGAAAGACATTAATGGACCAGCCTTCAGTTCATATGTAGGCAATGGCAGATCCAGCAAGACTCTAGGTGCAATGGCTTCAGGTGAGAACCACAACTATCAACCTGTGTGGCACTCTTTCGATTACCTTGTAGCTTGTCAAATGATATCAGGTGGTCATGTGCTCTGGGTGAGTCCCACCCCAGTACCAGGGATGTGAATCTTAATTAGTTTTAAGTCAATCACCAGGCCAGGTACTGGTTTAGGAATGCATGGCTGACATAATTATGGCCAATAAGATGTGAGGGTCACCTCGTTTAGAATGCTTCTGGAAAAGCTTTTCCTTGCTCTTAAAAAGAGGGAGTATTCAAGTAGTTTCTCTTTTTAAGGCCTTACATGTTGTGTGAGAATTTGATGTTAAGAGTCCCATCTAGCCTCTCTGAGAAAATGAGACCAAGGACAAAGTCAACACTTTGAGGATGACTAAGTAGAAAAATGGAAAGAACTTGTGTCCTTGATGTTTTTGAGGTGCTAAATTGACTACCATGGAAGCTCTCTATCTTGTGTCTTAGTGTTACATGAAATATTTTCCTTATTGTTGAAGTCATTTTTACTTGTCATGTCACTTGCAGTGAAAACTACCCAAAGTAACAACTTTGTCACTATAACCCCATGTGTTCTTCTGAGGTCCTAGAAGCATATGAGGCAATTTGTCAATGAAGCCTGCACTATGATTTGGGAGAGTAGAAGGAGCCCTGGACTTGGGTTCAAGAATAATTTATTACCTATAGTTTGAGTAAGTCACAGTCACTTGCTTCTTGTTCATTATCTATAAAATGATTGTTTATTTACAGTGTACTTGTAAAAAACAAAATGAATAATGCTAAGTGAAATCTTTTTTGTATACAAATGTAAGTTCTTTGTATCACTAGATACTTTTGAAAGATGAATTTAGAGTCTCCAAGTTACTCTGATGCCAAACTTTGACATTTAGTGTCATTGTCTTGTCTTACAGTGGTATTATGGAAATGATCCATGTCGGGGAACAGCTGGAGCACAGCTAGGCTGGAATGGGACAAGATGTTGTGGTACCTGGGCCACTTATATTTCCATTTATTCTGAGGCATTTTCAATTTACTGCTTGCTAATTGGTTTTGATCTAGTGGGATTGTTGCTATATACCCAGCTAGTACCTACAGTGGTAACTTACAGTTTGTGTAGCCATACATTTTTAGCTACAGATTTGAAAAGATTTTAAATATAAACTTGTTTGACTATCTTGATTGTTTAAACATAACACAATTGAAACTTCAAATATTTATTTTGTTTTTGATGAGACCAAGTGCAAATGTTAGTTAGTAATTTACATGTACAAAATAGTCTTTCCTGAGTTTTGGATAACAATTATCTGAAAACTCAAAAATAAAACCAAAAAACCTCACCAACAGAAATTTTGTAAACATAGTTTTTATTCTTTTCTTACCTTCAATGAAAAAGCCTTCACACCCCACAACATTTTTTGAAACTCAGTAATTGAACACCAAACTCAATAGCCTGATGATTATTTTTCTAGACAATTGCTGGATTATATTGCTTTTAAAAAAATAACTAAGATATATTTTTATTACTTTATTCCTTTTTAAAGCAGCAATATCCCCTCACATTTTTTTCCCATAAAAATCTAAAATATCTCTAGTAGTCCCAAGTGTCTGGTATTTATATTTGTTCTAAGTGTTTGTTTTATTAAGATTTTTCAGAAATAAGTGCACTTCTAAAGAGAAAAAAAAATTTAAATAAAGACGAGGGGAAATAATCATGGCTGTAGCAAAACAGTCATTTTGAATATTCTGAATTTTAAAAATTCAAAGAGAGATTGTGTTTAGTAGCCAGGGACCTCTACTGATTAAAATCTCAATTCATTTATTTGTAGATCATCAAAAGATAGCTGTTTCTCCTACCAGTAGAGACTGGTTGATTGATTGTCTAAAAGTTTTCTACAATAAAACACCAAAAATAAATGTACTTAAAAACATTTTAAAATTTACAGATTTACACAAAGATATGTAGTTGTTTTAAAAACAAAAAAAGTATCCTATTATAGAAACAAATGAAACCCTATCTTAAGCTGTAGCAACCAAAGAATGTTTTTAATATTCCCCATTTCTTATTTTTCATTCAACTAATAGCTTATTAAATCAGCTAAAGATCCCATTCAGAAGTGGCTGATTTATAAGCAATTCCCTATTTTCAGACAGCACAATGCTTCAATACATTTAAAGATTTAAAGCTATGTTAATAACAAATACATGAAAGAAAAATAACATAACTTGCTTTAATACAAAGGTTTTTAATTAAAAAAAGTCAAAGTCTACATTAAATCAGGAAATCAAGAAATCTGAGTTAAACAAGCTTTCTATATGCTTAGAAAAACCAAGAACACAGTTTATAATAAAACTCTTTTACTTCAAAATAGAGTCTAATTTAAAGAAAATGTTATTATGCCCAGTTGACTAGATAGGGTTTTGTGATTTGAATTAAATGATTCACCTAAAATATGGGAAATGTGTAATAGAGAAAATTCAACCTTAAGGGTTCTTTGCAAATTATCTAGTTAATTTGCATCATGAATGAAATTCTTAGCTTCCAAAGGGCAGACACAGTCTTCAACTGCTTTTAGATAGGCACTTAAGAAATGCTTTTGATGAAGAGAAAACCCCAAAGATTGTAAATCGTCCTATGAATTCCAGGGAAGAATGAGACTCTAAACAAAGTAAACTTTCCAGAACTGCTCTTCCACTGCCAAGAAATCATAACTATTTCCAAGTTCTTTCTGAAAATAAGAATGAGGGACATCGAAACTAAAATGCTCTATTCTTATGTAATTAAAAGGTAAATTTAGGTAATTCAGCTCCTTTATATCAATCTCAATCTCTCCCTCAGTCAACTTGAATCAATGTTATTTTTCTGTATTAGAAGAGTTACCATACTAGGATTAGAGGATGTTGTAATCTCCTCATAGTTTACTTATTCATTATCACATTAACAAAATAGTGCCTTGTTTAAAAAGGGGGTGAGGTGGGATAAGAAAATGTCATAATCCCCAGCAGAAGTTAAAGGTTTTTTTTTAAAATTAAAGGCAGTTATAATTAGAAAATTCAGTCAAGTTGAGATAACTCCAGGGTTTTAATAACTCTCTCTCCTAAATACTTAGCCACATGATCCAGACTAGAAAAACAGAGATGAACTATTAGATGGACACATAGTAAGTACTCAACGAATACATAAAAAGAAACAAACAAAAACAGGGGAAGGAGGGAGGTACCAGGATGGTCTTATTGAAACATTGTGGAGCTACCTAGCAGCAACATTTAAAATGGTTTTGTAGATTTGCATAATGCTCCCATACAACTCTTCCCTGTTAGGAAGAATTACAAACAAATCATCACTTTAGGTTTTGATCACAGACCATTCATAATGGTTACAATTGTTGTATCTTTAAAAAATTCTGTCAATTAACAGTTAAGACAAACATATGGGCATTCTTTGTAAAGTATTATTCCTCATGTCTAGTACTCATGAAACCAAAACCTCAAGAGAGTAGTTTAGAATTAAAATATTGAGCTAGAAAAGATTATTCAATTCTTAGGGAAATACCCAAAGAATTTGATGCTGACATTATCTCCCCTATCTTCAAATACAAGACCCCGGCTTGCATTTACTTCCTTAATTCCATCTGTATTAACCACAGTGACATAGCTCAACATGAACAATATTGCCCTTGAATAAGCTGACCTCCATCAAAGATCTGTGATGTCTGAATACAGCATTCCCACGGAAAAGTTAAATTATACTCAGTTGTGAACATCCACTCTGTTCAGGATCTTTGGTACATTTGGAGAATAAGAAAATAATGGCACAATAATACAAGTACTATCAAAGAAAAGTTTTTCATCAAAAGAAATGAAAGTTAACCAGCTATGATATGTAACAACTTTCTAGAAAACCAAAGTAAACAGCTCTTTGTTCTCTACAAGTCCATTTACATGATCAGAAGTTTGACATTGAAAAAAATATTTTAATAAAAATACACTAGTTCTACAAGCAGCCTTCACGGTCATTTCTTAAATTCAACTCACCATAATCAAATTAAAATAATGCCATGTCCTCTTGTTAAAAAAGAAGTCCTCTTGTCACAAGAAAAGCAACTTTACATTTTATATAATACAGTACATCTCCTTATGAGTATACAAACTACGTATATAAAGGTCATCAGTATTTCTGAATGCAAAGTAAATATATTAGTGGAGTGCTTGAGTGAAGGTGTTAAACAACTTCTTCCGTGTTATAAACTTGTTACTTCCTACTATGGAGCTTGTGTAATAACTTGATGATAAATTCTACTGCTTAAAGAATCAGTGTTGTTGCTTTTTAAATTTCTTAGAACCAGTGCAGAAACTGTCTTCATATATAGTCTACAGATGTCCAAACCAATAGGACAAAGGTTCTAACACCAACTATGGAAGATGGCTTTTACTGATTATCTAGACCCATACGATTTGCAGTGAAACAGCAATACTGCAGTGTTACCTACAGGTTAGCCTATGTTGCTTTAAATGATATGTGTTTGTCCTGAATTGATTAGAAGTGTTACAGTTCAAAGCCACAGCACACACAGGCAGAATGAACCTTAATACGCATGTAGGCAGTGCAGTTAGAAAGGGATGTACGTTCCTTTTATTCCAGTACCTTCATATAATAAAGTTAACAAAAATAATAAAATATTCCAAAAAAAAAAAAAAAAAGCCAGCTGGCATTGCCAACCAATTCCTGTAGTAGTCTTAGAAATTCTAATCCTGTAGAATTTCCTCTTGTTTTTTTAAAAAAAAAAAAAAAAAAAAAGCCAGCTGGCATTGCCAACCAATTCCTGTAGTAGTCTTAGAAATTCTAATCCTGTAGAATTTCCTCTTGTAGTTGATAAGCACCACCATCTTCAGGAGTATTTCAGTGTATTGTTATCTACGCCAAGCAAGCCTGGTGATGCAGCTACCTGAGTTCTCTTGGTTGTGGGTGAATGTGATCTTCATTCATAGTTTCCCAGCTTTCATGTAGGTGGGGATAGAGCCACGTTGAGTCAACCCTTCAAACCTTTTATAGGTATAATTGAGAAAAACCCAGTCTTTGGATTTGTAGTCCGGTTCTGTGGTATTTGGCACTAGAAAGATAGAAAAATTAACCAACAGCAAAAGAATTTCATTAGTGAAATGTCACCATCTTCACAGACATGTGAAGTTATGTTATAGTGTTAGTTGTGTTATAGACTGTCTTACCTGGTTGTAAGATATCAGATTCAGGGAAGTCATCAAAATTTGAAGTATCATCAATGCTTTTGATTTCTATAGGGATTGCCGCTGGCCTTTCCCTATGAAAAGGTATTAAGCAGCCATGGTAAATTTTCTTGAACTCTTCATTTTCCTACAAATAATTCTACTTGTAAATTCTAATAGAGATTAGAAGGGCCAAGGAAATTTATTGTGGGTTTGAGAATAGGTAGATTTCAAAATAGTTGAGTATAATTTTTTATTAAAATATTTTCATTAGGCCTGGCCAGTTAGCTCAGTTGGTTAGAATGCAGTGTTATAACACCAAGGGCAAGGACTCGTATCCTCGTACCAGCCAGCCACCTATATATATAATTATGTATAATTAAATATATATATATATATAATTTTCATTTACTTGTAATTTTTATATCTTTGTACTAAGACGTTCTTGTGCTATTTTTTAAGTGGAAAAACTAGAGCCATGACAGGAAAATGAAATGAAACAAGAGCTAATGCAAGGAAAAGCAAAAAAGAGATTTTATTTAAAAGATTTTATAGTTATATGATGTATATGGGATATTGTGAGGACTGGATCCTGCCTGATTGATTTAGGAATAGAATTCTTCTAGGAGAGGATGCATAAACCAAAAGCCACTTGGGAAAATAAGATGCACAAAGGGTGAAGGGACTATACATTTGTGATAAAATCTGAATGCAAAAACTTCTTAGTCATATAAGTTTTAAGAGAATCAGGGATATTAGGTTAAAAAGAAACCAGTCATTAAAATGCCTTCATATCATGCTAAAAATGTTTAACTGTAGAAATAATTAAAAGAAGTTAGTTTTTATTGTTTTTACAAATATTTATTGGATCTATTAGGTGCCAAGTTTAACAAATTGTGTAAAAGCATGTATATGTTTTTACCAGAATTATTCCAACATATTTATACTTAATATACTAACTTAATCAACTTAGTTTAGTGGAAAGAACCATAGACCCTAGAGCCCTGAAATTTAATCTTTCTTATCATTAACTAGCACTGTGACCTTAGGCAGGCAAGTCCCTGCTCTGTGAGTGTTTCCTCATTATAAAACCAAGAGATTGGACTGGTCGTCTCTAAGCATCCTTCCTACTGTAGAAAGGTAGGTATCATAGTTCTTTTCCATGAGATGATGTATGTACAGTATAATACAGCATAGCAGTTAGGAGTTAGAATCAAACTGTCTGGGTCCAATTCTAGCTCTTTCATTTATTAGCTATGGCAGTGTAGGCAAATGATTTAACTTCTCTATACCTTAGTTTCCTCCTCCGTAAAATAGGGATAATAATAGTTCCTATTTCACAGGGTGTATTATGAGGATAAGATGAGAAATGCAAGTAAAGTACTTAGAACAGTGCTGGACACACAATAAATGATTTTTAAAAATTAGCTATTATTATAATAAGTGGAGTGCGTCGCACGTGGTAGGATCTCCGGTGAAGCTCTGCACCAAGGAGGTGACACAGAAGCTGTATTGAAAGATGAAAAGATGCTGGCTAGGCAGGGCAGAGGTAGAGGTCGGAATCAGGCAGGGAGCATTTCAGGCAGAATGAACAGCAAATGACAGAACTCTGAGGCGGGAAGGAGTAGGAAAGGCCATCCAGGTGCACCCTGGACATATGAGGAAGAGCCATATCCTGCCGTCCTAGAAAAAGTAGTTAAGCGTTCTTTTTTCTGAGTGCAAAGGGAAGGAGAAAAATGACATGATCAGATCTATATTTCTAAACTGTTGCTGTGAAGAGAACAGTCCAGAAATATTGAAGGTAGTTTGGCCATAAACTGAAAAAAGGCCAAAACTCACAATTAACAACTATAAGCAAATTCTTAAAAGTTACTTGCAGTATTTAACTTTTCCTCCCAATGTTTAGACTGTACCTGATTATAAATTAAAGAGACACAGTATGGTATATGTATTAGAGAGAGAACAAAATGAGGAGTTAAGTGTGAAACGTAAACACATCTTTTATGTGCTTGCAGCCTTCACTGTGTAAGTATGAATACAAGAATCTAAACAGGTGCACAATATGTGTTTTTTCCCTTAAAGTGGACAGTAGCCTAAAATGAGTCATTTAGCTGTAGACTATAGTCCTGCTCACTTATACAGTCTAGAAAACACTGATTTAACACTAACAGTGTTACTTGTTGTATTTGATCTGGCAGAATCCAAGGTAAATTAATACTAAATCTAGAAATTCGTGTTCACTCAGACCTCTCCACTCAAAGCCTAGGAACATACCTGATGTGTCCCCAGTCTACACCTTCAAAAAAGGGATGACCTTTTATTTCTTCAACTCCGCTATTTCCAATTCTATTTTCAGAATCAATACAAAATCTAGAACATGGAAACAGATAAATTATCATATACAAGTTACATCTCAAGTACTCTAGTTGCATTATTTCAAACATTTCATTTGTTTAAAGCATTACAATTTTTTTCCACTTACTGAATGCTTATTGTGGAAAATGTGAGAGAAAAAATTCGTCTGTAATTACACAATTTAGAGATAACTACAGTAAACATTGTGAAGATATTCTCTTCTAATCTTTCATAATAATATTAAAAATATTGTGTTGATATAGTAGTTACTATTTTAGGATTACTTTTTTTCACCTACTGTTGTACTGAGAAAACTTCCCAAAGTCATTAAATATTTTTCTATAAATTCATTTTCTAAAATTTGTATATGGAGATATTACAATTTATTTAGCCAGTTCACTACTGTTGAACATTTAGATGGTTTCCAATTTTTCACTATTAAAAATGATACCATGGGCCGGCCCGGTGGCGTACTGCTACAGTGCGCCGCTTGGGAGCGCAGTGGCGCTCCAGCCGAGGGTTCGGATCCCACATACAGACCGGCCGCTCACTGGCTGAGCGAGGTGCGGGCACACCACCAAGGGTTGCGATCCCGTTGCCAATCCTGGTCCGGTACGGGGGCAACACTGAGGGTTGCGATCCGTTGCCGATCACGAAAAAAGACAAAAAAAAAGGGGCGGCCGCTCACTGGCTGAGCGAGGTGCGGGCACAACACCGAGGGTTGCGATCCCGTTGCCAATCCCGGTCCGGTACGGGGGCAACACTGAGGGTTGCGATCCGTTGCCGATCACGAAAAAAGACAAAAAAAAAAGGGAAAAAAAAAAAATGATACCATGATAAACATACTATACCTAAATCCTTACACATATCTGCTAATCTGCATAAGCAAGATTACTAGAAGTAGAATTGCTGGATCAAAGGTCATAAACAGCTTAAAGATTTTCTTATAGTATGGCTGTCTCCACAGGTTTGTCCCAATTTGTATTCCTTCCAGCCAGTCACAATAGTACCAAAACACTTCTTAGTCGAGGAACATAGTGGAATCTTTTGCTTAGAAGATTTCACATATAAACTTTAACAATAAGAATTTCTGCCACTAACAATTTATTTTCCCTTTTCTCTCTAATAGGATCAGGTGATTGCATTTTAACAAGAGTGACCTTTTGCTTTTAATATATATCAGTAACTGAAACAATACAAGACCTCTTCCTCTTCTTAACTCCTACTATTTTTTTTCTGCATACTTCCTTTTAAGAGTTTACATTTTTTAAAACACCTTTTCTTTTATTTTTTATTAGGAATTTATTTAAATTGAAACGTATTGACTGTACTTATATATGGGGTGCACAGTATATTTTAATACATGTATACAATGAAACCACCTTTTCTTTATTGGTCTCTTTAACTATATGGATCAGTGATATTCCCTCTCCCCGACACAAAAGTAATATGAGTCTTTTAGGTACTCGTGAAGTTTAAGTCACCATGAACTCCTCTAGGAATTTAACCACCAACCTGAGAATTAAGTCCTTTGCTTTCTCAGATATAGGTACCTCCGGAGGAAATACCAAAGTTTCTTTCCAGTTCATCACTTTTCTGTATGTTTCTTGGGGTGTTTCAGAGCAGAAAGGTGGATATCCTATGTATCAAAGAAAACAAAAGTTTTAATCAGCTTTTGTGATCAATTAAGTTATACCTACTAAATATGCGCAGCAAGAAATAAAACAACTCTGAGTGTTCTATTAACAGTAAAAAATGCCACCATTCATCAATTTACAATAAAATTGCTAATAAAGCCAGTAAGGTAAAGGATTTAAAGCACTGCCCCCCTTTTTACCTGAAAAACCATGCAAATACAATTTTGATACATGGGAGTTTAGATTAATTACGCCCCCCTTCCTGAAACAGGATCCCTGGAGAGCTGATTGGTATTTATCAGTATGTATTTAACATTGCAGGATGTCAGAAATAAGTTTAAAAGAGTTCAGAAATTTTAGCCCTTGATATCTGCAATATGTTTGAGCTACGGCACATATATTAATAGAAATGTATATACTATACATATAAATGATAAGACATACCTATTAGCATTTCATACATAATAACTCCCAAAGACCACCAGTCACACAATTTGTTGTAACCAGTCTGCATGAATACTTCTGGAGCAATGTAATCTGGCGTTCCAACTGTGGAATATGCCTACAAAGGAGCAGCCTGTCAAACCAGCATTCTTAACATAATAACTCCCAAAGACCACCAGTCACACAATTTGTTGTAACCAGTCTGCATGAATACTTCCGGAGCAATGTAATCTGGCGTTCCAACTGTGGAATATGCCTACAAAGGAGCAGCCTGTCAAACCAGCATTCTTAACGTTTTTTAAAAAATCTGAACATGGCTTAATACTAGAAAAAGCAATATATATAAAAGTTAATTTTTCATTTAATATTAACTTTGCATGTTTACCATGCATAAGGTTTAGTGATAGGTACTGCATCAGACAATACATTATAGAATACATGATTTCTGCCCCACAAGAAATTCAACAAAGTTATTCACATATATAGACCTAAGTCCATTTCAAAAAGAATGAAAAGGTTGGATCCAGGAGGCCTGACGTCCCCACTCACTTCTAATATGTTCTTGGGCAAGGTGTTCAAACTCTCTGAGCCTCAGCTTCCGTTTCATAAAATTGGAGCAATAATACTTGCCCTGACAGAGTTGATATGAGGATGTAACAAGAAAAGAAATGTGCTTTGTATACTACAAACTACTATATAAGCATCAGGTATTTTCATTATAAACATAATTCCAGAATACTGCTTATCCACCAGAAGGCTATGCAGTTTTTCATTCTTAATTCTTATAAAATCTTACAAAAACTATTTCTTTAAGGCAGTAGTTCTCAAGGAGGGGTGGTACTCTAGGAGCCATTTGAAAATGTGTGACAGCAGATTTTGTCATCTCAGTGACCTGGGGGAGGGCATGATTGGCATTTAATGGGTAGGGGATCCAGGTGCTAAAGAAATTTCCTTCTCCAAATACCAATAGAGTCCCCTCTACTTTTCCCTTGGGAAACACTGATGTAAGGCATGCTACTATCAACCATGAGAATAATGAAACACGCACATGAGTAATCACCTGTGAATATTCTGTAAATAGGGGAGTATGGAATTCCCTCACCATATTTTTAAGCAGTATTCATTTTCTCACTTTAAAAGTAGGAAATACTGCAATTCTTTTCTTAATTGTAAAATCTGACCTAAAAGTGATACACTTAAAAGTCGAACAAAGTTTTTCTCCTTAATGCATTGCTCAATATAATTTTAGAATGCTGAAATGTTTTACAAGCATAGGAAGTTTGCAATAACCTGGCTGAGAATAAACTCAGTGATGCAAAGGTCATTTTATTTGGTTTTAGAGGGCATCAGACATTATTTTTCAGTCTATTTACTTCCTGGGGGAATGTGGAATTAGTTTCTCTTTCATCACTTAGTTGAATTAAACAAATATTTATAGTGTGTGTATATAAGCTAGGCGTTATATAAGAAATTAGGAAAACAAAGTCAAAAGGCACAAACCTAACCTTATGAATGTTCATGGACCTTGTTAATAGGATAAAGGGAAAGAGGGAAAAGGAGAAGCAAGTCTTATATTTGTCAAGTAATAGAGAGGAAAGAGGATGGGGTTAAAAATAGTGTAATTTCTACATTAAAGGAGTAATTAAGTTTACTTGTGGTAAAGTCTGCTTTCAAATTTTATTTTATCTATTTTATTGTAACATTGTTGACATCCCAAACTTCCTGTTTAGTCTGTCTATAAGTTCTTAGAAACTCAAAACCACCTTACATGGTGATTGATATTGGTCGTATCTAGATTATACCACGGGCATGGAAAACAGAAAAATGGAAATCACAAGTCATTCGTTACAATCACATTCATCTCAGTGAGTTTTATTTAACGTGCTAATTACTAATAAACAGACATTACTTACTCATAGGTATGCTCGATAAAGTACTATAAAGTTTTATATCAAAGTAAAAATCAGCAGTTCACTTAATATACACGGAAATTTTAGAGACACTAAGAACACTGTGTCATCCCAGAACAAACTCTATCATTGCTACAAAGTAAGTACTAATCATTGTGAAGATGGGAAATAATCAAGTAAAAACCAGATGAGATTTTTAGGGCCAGGGCACAAAATTCTTTTTTAAAAATAAAGGTGAACTCACCAGTTGTCTCCTGTTCTTCTTCCACGTTTCTGCTTTCCTCTTTGAGTTCATGTTCTGAAATGCTAATTTCAACAAGATGGAATTGTAATAATGAGCAAAAAACTCTCACCAAAACCAAAACCACATATATGCAAGACACATTGATTTAAGGAGTGGGGAGAGGACGTGAGAGAACCTCCAATTCCTGATAGTACTAAATTCAACTGGCTATAATTTTTAACCAAAAAAAAAAAAAAAAAAAAAACTTACAGAAGTCACTGGGTGGGTTGTGTGTAAGATTTCTGTAGAATTCAGTCCTGTGAGCTTTCTTTAACCCCGTGCATAAACCAAAATCAGATAATTTTACGTGACCCTAAAAAAAAAAAAAAATCCAGTAAAATCGCAAGATTAGGTTAACTTTGAAAACAAAAAGCCTTATTATAAACTCCTCAACTGAATGCAATTATTGTAAAAATCCTTAGCTTGGAATTCATATGGGTGAAGATTTAAAATGATAAATATTTTATGATGATGATTCTAAAAAGTAGAAAATGGAGAAGATAAAGAGACAGCCATATTCCCTTGATTTCAGTCAAGTCCATTCTGTGAAATAATGTAGTTTAACAATAATCTAAATTGCAGTTGTCTATTTCCAATTACAAAATCAGCTCTACTACTCTACAAAGTATTCAGCAACCTAATAATTCACCAGTTTATTCACATGCCTTGGCATCCAATAAAAGGTTGTCGGGCTTAATATCCCGATGGATGAAACCCAACTGGTGGATAGCATCTATTGCCAGAACAGTCTCCGAAATATAGAACTGTGTTTCCTCTTCTGTCAAGGTATCTTTCTTCATTAGCAATGTCATCATGTCACCTACATAAAAGAAAGTAAGCAGCATGCTATTGAAAATGCCTCAAAAGGGAATACCTTATAAAAACCTTCCTTGTAGCTCTACGGTGTACACCTGATTTTATATTTTATGATCCACCCAGTATATCTTTACCCATTTCTGGGGCCAAATAAAAGTGTTATTGTATAAACAAAAGTTTCATGATATTTAATGGTTTTAAGGAAGAAGTATGTAAAGTCAAATTAGATAGAGCTGATGATGAAGTAATATCCACCACTCAACATCCAGAATAAGTTGCTGATGAAAGTATGTCAAACCGTAGAAAAGAATCAGACTAAGTTCACCTAGAAACCAGACAAATCCTTTTAAAGTATCAAAACACCCTGAGCTCTTTAGTTCAACAAAAATAGGATGTCATCCCACTAAGAGTCACCTCTAGACATTCTTTTATTTCCAAGGATTTTTTTCTTTAAAAAGGGGCAACGAAATAGTTTTAACCACTATCTGCACTGATACATTTGCAACACAGAACTGGCAAATGATAACATTTTTTTCATATATTTTCAAGTCTTTTAAAAAAATAACACGTAGAAGTAGGACCCTTTGTCCTCCATTCCCATTCTGTTCCCCTTTCCCTCTTTGCTGAGCAATGATTATCATAGAGTTGTTTTAGTGTGTATCCTTCCACCTCATTTTTAAAATATGGTTTCATATACACATATATTAATCTAGGAATAGTCTTTTGTTTGTTCTTTGAAAATTACATAAATGTTACAAATTGTATGTGTAATTCCACAGCTTGCTTTATTTACTCCACTCTATTTCTGAGATATTACTGTTCAACCAAATACAGCTTGTGACTTTTAACTACTGTAAAATATTTCGTCATGTCATTATACCAGATTTTACTTATCCATACTTCTACTGATGGGCAATTTATCTTGCATCCAACTTTTCACTATTATGACAATGTTCCCATGAGCATCCTTTTACAGGGCTCTTGTGCACATATGGAGGAGAATCTAGGAAATATAGCTAGTTGTAGAAGTGCTGGATTATAGTACATATGCCTTTCTGGCTTCACTGTATATCTCTAAATTGCTCTCCATAAAAGTCAGAGATCAATTTATAAGAGGCCAATTTTCCCCAAAGCCTCAACAATACTCAGAATCATCAGACTTTTAATGTTTTTGCTAATATGCTGTGAAATGGTTTTTCACTTTTGTTTTTATTGGCATTTCTCTGAATATCGCTGAAGTTTAACATATTCCTATATATTTATAGACTAGACAGAGTTTATCTTGTGTACATTGTCTATAATTTGCCCATTAGTCTGTCTTTTTCTCTATTGACTTACTTGTCTTAATTGCAGACTTAAAACAATCTGCTTATATGCAGTGCACCCAGAATGGTGGTATTTAAATGTGCTAACTTTATTATTCCTTCAAAATGATCTGATTTGTGGTCAAAATGAGCATTATCGTAGAAGTAAATATTGAAAAACTGACTATGTAAAATCTCAGTTAGGAATATAAAAGTAAGCCTAATCAATAAAATTATTATTGCATATAAAGATGTGCTTGTGTCATTATAGCAGATTATGTCACTGCTATAATGTTTGCTTTTACCTCCAGGGAGAAATTCCATGATTAGATAAAGGTTCCTCTTATCCTGAAAACTGTAAAACATCTTCACTACCCAGGCACCATCTGCTTCTACTAAAATATCTCTTTCAGCTCGGATATGGGCCACCTAGATGAATACATTTTGAAAAAAGTAGTAGTTAACACATTACACATTTTTCAAGCTCACCTCTTACAATTGCCCATCCATAATAGTCATGAGGAAAGCTGGAGTTTTAGAAAAGATTTGAAACATATTTCCATGTTCATGTTCTCACTAAATATGGAGAACCTCAGGAAATAGTTTAATTTGGCTTATACCTTTAGGCCTGAAAAGGTGACAGTGACAGGAATATTAAGGGAAGCTGAGGCCTCTGAGGGAGGGCAATGATTAGAATGGCTAATTGGATCCCGGCTTTGTCATATAAATTTAGGTCAGTAGTGTGCTTACCTCTGCCACTCGCTCGTGCCCTCACTTCACTCCACCCGTGATGGCTTCCTTCTCTTCTCTGGGCAGGCCAAGATCACTCTTGCCTCAGGGCCTCTGCATTTGTTACCTAGACCCATGTTCTACCAGGTCTTTGTACGTCACTCTTTCTCATTATTCACTCTCTCAACACACATTCCCTCCTCAGAGAGACTTTCCCTGATCTAATTCTTTCTCCTAAACCCAGATCATTTGTGTCACCCTATTCTTTTAAAATTGTTTTCTTCACAGTACTCATCAATCATGACAATCTGAAATAGCTGTCTGTTCACCTCTCCACTACTATAAAAGAACAAGGATCAGGTGTGTCTTGTTCACCACTGTATTTCCAGAACATACAACGGTACTTAGTACACTAGAGGCACCCAATAAATGCTTGTTGAAGGAATGAAATAACAAAGAAAAAGAATGCAGTGAAAATCCAAGTGGGTCACAGTTAAATAAAAATTAATATTATATTGCTGTAATAACAGTAAGCTTGGGTGGGGACTAAAAGACAAAGCACAAAGAGCAGAGAGGTGCCATCTCCCTCTATCGTCCACTGTTGAGTCCTTCACTAGAATATGTATTAAATTAAGGGATTTAGAGTGCCCACCCAGAGTGGAAACACAGGAGAATATATAAAATAATACTATCGATGTTTTCAGATATTATGGCCATCCCATCGAACTGCTTTAAGTCATAGAAAACATGGAGAGAGCCCAGGAGCATAAAAAAAGAGTAGTAACAGATTTGGGAAATACATAAAATCAGCATTCTCAGGGGACTCGTTTTGCTTATTTGATATGTGATAAGGATCAAGGGGGCTGAGAATAGTCCTTTATTTTCACTTAAGTCAGAATAGGAAGTATTTCAGAAGGTATTTCGTTATGGACTAAATGTGTCTCCCAAAATTCATCACAGTAAATCCCTTACCCCAGTATGGCTGTATTTGGAGATGAGGCCTCTAAGGAAGTAATTAAGGTTAAATGAGGTCATAAGGGCGAGATTAGTATCCTCACAGAAGAGACACCAGAGAGCTCTCACATGAGTGGGCATGTTCTCTCTATACATATATCTCTATTTCTATCTCTGTCTCTATCTCTCTCCCTCTGCCCTCCCACATGTAGCAAGGAAAGGCCATGTGAGGATCTAATGAGAAGGTGGCCATCTACAAGCCAGAAACAGAGTCCTCACCAGAAACTGAGCCCTACCAGAACCCTCACATTGGATTTTCAGCCTCCAGAACCGTGAGAAAATATATTTCTGTTGTTGAAATCACCTAGCCTGGAGTGCTTTGTTATGGCAGCCTGAGCTGACTAACACACAGATTATAAATTTTGAAGAAATTTTAAATATAAGAATTGAAAAACACTAAAACAGCCTATCAAAAACCTAATAGATCCTATAGTAAGATGCACAGATTTCTTTTTAAAAATTCCAATACAACGCTTATTCTAACATCTACTCAGTGGATGTACTTGGCGTCACATGTGTTAGAGAACCCATACCTGCTCTTTTTCAAGCATGTCAGCCTTTCTCAATATCTTCATTGCATAGATATGGCCTGTATCTTTCTTCTGGACCAACCGCACCTAGAATATAAAAATATATATTATAAATGTTAAACAGTCACTACTATTTATTCAGGAGTGAAAGGTAGGTTCCTTTAAAGAAAGTAGGAATTTGCCATTGTTGGTGTTTCAGGAATTACATTTTAATACCTATTTTAAACTATATTAAGATATATATTTTCAGTGGTGGTGACTTTAAAAAATAAGCACACCTCTCCAAAAGCTCCTCTTCCTATAACTTTCAAAGACTCAAAGTCATCCAGGCCAAGTCTGGTCCTCTTGAGCCGTAAGAACTCTGTTTCTTTGCGAGCGTGTTGTGATCGGCGTAACTTTTTCTATTAAAAAAAGACAATGTAAAAGGATGATTTTATAATCAGGTTGTTTCAAAGGAGTTCACAGTATTAAAAGATGATACACAGAAAAACTGGGGTAAGGTATGTTAAAATATTATATACTAGCACTATAACTTATTTACCTATCAAGTATTTATTAAGCATGAAAAGAATAAGACAATCTAAAGAAAACATATTTATATTTTTAACAATCAATAAATCTCTTGAGGTGGACTCCATTTAATATTTCTTCTTAACTTGTCCATCTCTCTCTCTCTCACACACACACACACGAGAGTATTTCAAAAAGTTTGTGAAAAATGGAATTAAAAGATGATATGAATCTATGAACTTTGTGAAGACCCCTCGTGTGTGTATAATTTATTCTTTCCTACTATACACTAATTTAATTCATAAATAAAAATTAAATTTTAGGAAATGCTAATAGTACTCTGATATTTATTTTTATTCTGTAGGGAAATCTACTTTGCTTCAATTTCCTAATTTCCAAAGTTGCTCTGGCACAACTACTGAGACTTGTGACACCAAAATAACACAATGGCAGTGTTTCCATAGCGATTTACTTCTGATAGAATTTATTCTCAGATAAAGTTTAATAAACTGCTTGAGAGCTGGCATACAACTTCCTGAAAATATGACATTGGAAAAAAAAAATACAAGTCACTGAATTATCCAAGTCAGTAATTGCATAATTGATTCTACAGAGATCACAAAAAATAACTATCATTAATAAGAAACATTATGAAATACCTGAAGGTTACATGTGGAACAGGCATTTATTTCATTGTTCTAAACCTCATTTTTCCCCCCTACCAAATAAAATTGTGTTTTTCGACATTAGTTCTTAGTAGAGTCAATACAGAGTGCGAAATAAACAAAATCAGTGAAAAAATTAAAGTCCTATTCATCTTCAACTGAACTCTACCGAACTTTCAGTGGTTCAGTTCAGACGGGAGACAAGTCAAAAGGACCATAATATTAGCTAAGAAACACTACTCCTAAATGCAGCTCAAGGTCTAACCACTGAAGAGTCCCTTCCTACTCCTGTGTATACCTATTTTAAAAAGAACTGTTAATTAGAAATATGTAGATGTGTTGGGCCGGCCTGGTGGCGCACTGCTACAGTGCGCCGCTTGGGAGCGCGGCGGCGCTCCCGCCGAGGGTTCGGATCCCACATGCAGACTGGTTCCCGCTCACTGGCTGAGCGCGGTGCGGGCGCAACACCGGGGGTTGCGATCCCGTTGCCGGTCCCGGTCAGGTGCGGGCGCGACACTGAGGGTTGCGGTCCGGTGCCGGGGACGAAAA